GAAAAATGCACATTTTATGACTGTCTGGTCAATGTATCTATCAATGTGAGATCACTATTAGAAACCTTGAATCACTGGACATGGCCGTTTCCTCCTGGTATAGGATTCATTAGCAGTCTACATCTGTGATGAGTTTCATACTGTTGGAGATGTTAGATCCCTCAGAACTCGCTTGATAAATATCTTTATTTTCGATTTATTTCATGGACCGATCAGTTGACCCTGAGATCTGTCATAATGCTACTACGTATAGGTATTCAGTCCTTGCGGCGTCCAATTCAAATACCCCAGTACGACCCAAATTGCTATTTCCAAATCTCCTATATATCAGAACGCAACACCGTTGGATGGAGTTGTTTATTGGGTCGAGTACAGAAGAGAGGTAGGCAGGAAGAAACGGAATCGGAATCATGAAGTCTTACAGATAGTGCGTATTTATACATTTAGGTCGAATAGGCAAGAGCATCAAAGTCTGTGATATTGACAGTTTAGGACGACCAATAGGAAAGAACATTTGAAATGACATTGACAGTCCGGATGACCAATAAGAGACAACATTGAAGTATTTGACTTTGACAGTTAAAACGACCATAATTTTGACCAATAGAAATCGACCAGTGGGATTATACTTCCGAAAATAGTACTCTTAGGATATTTGGTGAATATCCTAACAAGATCACATTTTCCACAAGGGAAATCCTTGGCTGTGATTGGTTGCTGTGATTTTAGTGTGCTATTTTTGTGACTGTCCCAAGGACGTCTCTATAGAGTATAAATAAACGCAATTTGAGTGCTTGGATTCATTGTGTGCTGGCTGGGTGTTTGTAGAATACAATTTCTACACTATATCAAGACTTCTTGTTGATTCAACTTGGTCAAGGGACCACACTAGCCTACGTGGACGCCTGTTCATTGTTTTGATCTCCTTTATCGACTAAGACGAAATCGTAATAGTTTGAGCATACCTAGAGACGAGTCTAACACATACCAGCACGAAACGGCCGTGTCCAGTGCCTTCACTGTATAATGCAAATTTGTAATATATGGACATATAGAATTGAATTTCTGATAAAAGAAATACAGTGATTAAAAATTCAAATTGAATCTAGTATGATTAACGCTGATTAAATTCAACTGACCAGGTTTTAATTTGACTATTGTTTCAAAATGTTTTGACATGTTTTAGTGTCTTTGAAGTGATATAAATCCGAATTTTATAGAAAGCGTCAGCTCCAATAAAACTTCAAACATATCACAAGTTCACACACAAAAGTTCTAGCTAGGTAAAGCAGTTGTTATTATCAGTCAGTTATAACCATTCAGTAAGGTTAAAGAGTGAATGTTTCTGTTAGGATATTCATCCAATATTCTAAGAGAATTATTATTGGCCAATTACTATTGGTTAATTCCTACTGATCAATATTATGGTCGTCCTTAATATCAATGTCATATACTTCAATGTTGTTTCTTCTTTGACCTAAATGTATAAATATGCATTATCTGTAACGTTTTATGACCCGGACCCGCATCCCTAGTCAGGGATCCTGATTCTCTTCTGGACTCGGACCTCGTACTTTCTGGATGCTTTTAGAATACAGGTTCTAATTCATATCAAGTCTTCTTCATTTATTCAACGGAAGTTGGAACACTCGGGTTAGAGTAGCATGTCGTGTCGCGAGATCCTCGACAATCGCTCTCGTTTTCTAACAAATGTAAACTCGTAATAATTCAAACATATCAAAATGACATGTTGACGCACCTGCGTAACAGTTTCTTAGCCATTGTGATAAATTTCTTTCTCTTTCAGGTGAACTAATATCTTCAACTACTTACTGATCGTGGTTATCACACTTAACCCGAAATCAAATAGTCTACATCGATCAAATCTACTAAGTTCATTGGTTATTTGCTTCACGGATTGATGTCATATTTATGGGCTTTTTCATCCTTTACTCTCTTTAAACTGTATATGAAGAAGTAGATGAGCGGAGTAGTAACTTTCAGGATGGATTTATAGATTATTATTGTGTATAGTCTTACTGTATAGTTCTTTAGTAAAGAGATTATCACTATACAAATATATATATATTTACAATCTGCTCTATCTAAGGTCATGTTGGTAGGTGTCAGCTACCGGGTTGGGATCCGCGAGATGATAGTAATCGATGGTTAGCGACCATGAATAACATCATGCCTCAAAACTGTTTGCAATGGCGCAGATGCATTCATTCTTTGTGTTCTCTCAAATTCTAACCTTCTGAATTCCTTATCACCTTTATCTTTTTTTTTAAAATTTTATTTCACTAGATTCTACTTCTCGAATAAATATAGTCGAAACCTAATCTCTCCAATTACTGCTAATACTTCTACTACTTCTACTACTATATGATGTAAACTGTCAGTCTATGTTCTAATGCGTTAAGGCGAAATGAACTCATGTACTCATATACGAAGTTCTATGTTCTTGTCGACTAACTAAAGTCACTTTTAGCTTGCTCATTCGTATATAAAATCTATTTTTTTCATTCTATGCATTGTGACGTGGTCGGATATGTTTGGCATACAAATTGTCTGTTTGAATAACAACGAATTTCGTGGAGGTTGCTGAAGACAGACTTTTGGACTAAAAAGTGGTAGGTAGGTTAAATGAGAGAAAGAAGCTATCGAGCTGTGTGTCGACCAATAAGAATTTAGAACTAACTCAAGGTTTCTAGTGCTAGGGAGTAATTCTGATTGGTGTATTGTATGTGTCACGTGATATTATTGATTAGCTCTTAGCGATACAATAGGTGTATACCACACAAAAAAGGCTCCAGTTGATTAAAACAAGAAAGTAAAACCGCCATATTGATAATAATCTTGTAAAACAAAAAACTATATACTAATCCTCATTAAAACAAAACTTACCGATGATAATAATAACTCTTTTAATTGTTGCATTGGAATATTTTGTCTTTCTTCCATTGCTTGAATTTGATGAAAAACATTCTTAATATCAAATTCATCATTTAAAATACTTTTTTAATTATTACTATCAGCAGTAGTATTGTCAATATTAAATGTGAAAGAGTTTGATTTATCAATAGTATGCGTTAAATTTAGCTTATTACTTGATGAATTTAAATTTTTCTCTTCTAATTGTTTTAAACTATTTTGAACTTGTTCAATAGTTTTTAATGTATCTTCTTTTGAATAATGATAATAATAATAATATTGATAATAATTTAATGATTTATTAATCGGTTCTGATTGACGTCGATATTTTATAGTTATATTATTATTATCATTTGTATGCTGAATTTCATCATCATCATGACTAGTTTGTTCAGTTAATGGACTTGGACGATTGTTATCATTCCGATTTGGGAAATTACCTTCAAACATAGTTATTCGCCTAATTTAGAAGAGAAAAAAGAAAATTAAAAATTTAAGGAATCATTTATTTAAAACAAACCATATAAATTGAAAAAAAATATATATTTGATTTAAAAGTTATCATATGGGTTATTTGTCAACCCTTTCGGGGTTACTGTCAGTCCTAGGCATGGATATATTCGGAGGGTTGGGCATGGGTTTGGTGACCTCATCCTGTAGAAAAACAACTTGCTAAAAATACGTGAAACTAGAACAAATGATTCAAATCAATTAAACTCTGTTATGACAGTTGAAAGGTCTTTATTTAGAAGAATATCTTCGAAAGTCTGTTATTATTAGTTGAGAATTATAACTGATATGAATCACGTAAGACTACAAAATTTCAAAACGATACAAGTGAAAATATAGTAGGGAAAAATAATGAAAAGTAACAAATAATAGCTATGTAATGGAAAGTATTCCAAAGGGTAAAAGATTTAATCTTCTCTCAGCCTATTATCGTTAGAAAGCATAACAATTTTGTGTAGTTATCAGTGTTGAGAAGTTAGTACTTACTTACGCCTGTTACCCCCAATCGAGCATAGGCCACCCACCAGTTTTCTCCATCCAACTCTGTCCTGGGCTTCCATCTCCAGTTTTGTCCAATGTTTGTTCATTCCTCTCATATCTTTCTCTATTTCTCGGCGTAGTGTGTTCCTTGGCTTTTTTTTTTTTTTTTTTTTTTTTTTTTTTTTTTTTTTTTTTTTTTTTTTACGCAGTTAGGTGCTTTTCATAGTGTGTGTCCTATTCACTTCCACCGATTCTTCCTGATTTCCTCCTCCACTGGAATCTGGTTCGTTTTCTCCCACAGTAGGATTTTACTGATGATGTCTGGTCAACGAATCCGAAGTGTTTTGCGTAGACAACTGTCAATAAACACTTGTATCTTCTGGATGATGCCTTTCGTTGTTTTCCAAGTTTCAGCTCCATACAGTAGAACTGTCTTCACATTTGTATTGAAAAACCTTATTTTGGTTTTGGTTGAAAGTTGTTTGGATTTCCAGATATTTTTCAACTGTAGAAATGCAGACCTTGCTTTGCCGATCCGCGCCCTCACATCTGCATCAGATCCACCGTTCTCGTCGATGATGCTGCACAGATATGTAAAGGCGTTCACATCCTCCAAGGCATCTTCATCAAGAGTGAGTTTGGTTGGCACATGTTGTGTTGCATCGGAGAATTTTGCTCTTTCCTTTATGTATGTTGAGACCTACTGCTGCAGAGGCTGCTGCTACACTGGTCGTCTTCTCTTGCATTTGTTGTTGCATGTGCGACAGAAGAGCCAGGTCATCTGCGAAGTCCAGATCGTCCAGCTGCGTCCTAGCTGTCCAGTTGATACCGTGCTTCCCTCCAGAGGTCGACGTCTTCACAATCCAGTCGATGACCAGGAGAAAGAGAAAAGGTGAGAGTAAGCAACCTTGCCTGACACCGGTCTTCACCTCGAAAGAGTCTGTCTTTCGTGTACGATTTTGCAACTGAATCCATCATAAGAATTGCGTATGACGTTAACTATTTTCTCAGGCACACCTTGGTGTCGAAGAAGCCTCCACAGTTTTTTCCTGTCCACGATATCGAATGCCTTCTCGTAGTCGATGACGTTGATGTAGAGTGGTGAGTTCCATTCAACTGATTGTTCCACAATGATCCGTAATGTAGCAATTTGGTCAGTACACGAGTTGAGATGTTAGACCGCAGTTATAAGCAATTTAACCATTCTTACTTGGCGTTTATTGAGCAAGCTGACTTTCCTCGGGTAGGAGTCATTAATTCCACGACTAAGCCTCCTGCTTTATCCAAGCAATAACCGTGGAAGGGCTCCAAGTAGAGTGAAAACGCCCACAACTTATTCATTAAGAGATTTCTCTTTGTATTCATAAATAATACTTTGAAAATATTTATACAATCAGTTAGCTAAGAGCCTAGATATGTTTTCAATTTTTTCAAAAAACATATTCCATAATCAGAAAATATGATAGATGAAACTACTATCTCAGTATAGTAGCCGATGATTTTGCTTAATAATTATCATGCGTTCACCAGTGACTGAGTTGGTGAAGGAGTTTTCGGATTGATAAGGTCGTCGCATCGTTCAGAACTGAAGTAGTTACTTACCAAAGATGATAGATAATGATAGTGCAAAACTGCAGGTTGCTTGAATTTAGAAATCAAAACTATTGGGAACCGACTCAGTGATCAGAAGAATAAGTGTTGGTGCGCGAGGCCAAAAGTGCTGGGTTCGAGTCCTTTGTGCGAAGATTTTGGATGCTGTTACGCCGGCACGTAAACACGTCAACTTGATATACTTCAACTAATACGAGTTTACCTAGTCAAAAAACGAGAGCGAGGATCGAGGAAACGGTGACACAACACGCTATTCAGATCTGATTATCCCAACCCCTGTATTGAGAGAAAATAAGAAGACAAGACTTGAATGTTAAGTAGAATCTGTATTCTACAAGCATCCAGAAAGTACGAGGTCCGAGTCCAGAAGAGAATCAAGATCCCGGACTAGGGATCCGGGACCGGGTCCTGGTCCTGGTCGTGGTCATAGAATGTTACAGGTAATGCGTATTTATACACTTTGGTCGAATAGGAAACAGCATCGGTCTAAGATTGACAGTTAAGACAACCAATAGGAAGCAACATTTGGAGTGATACTAATAGTCAGGACAACCAATAAGAAACAACATTGGAGCACGTGATATTGATATTTAGGACGACGATAGAATTGACCAGTAGGAATCGACCAGTTAGAATTCACCAACAATTCTCTTAGTATATTGGGTGAATAGAATATCCTAACAGAATCGCACTCCTGATGAGTCCTGTACTAGTTCGAAACAGTTTTTAAATGCTTCTGATTTTCAAATGGTGATCTAATGTGGATTGGTTCGTGATTTGAATGAAATTCAGCGTTGTTGGTTTTAATAATTTACATGTTTTCAATCATGAATTAATGAATTATTTCTTCATTAAGTCTGTGCCTTGTTCAACTTATCAAATTCACTTTTAACTTACCTAGTTTTAAAATACTTTGAGTATTCACGACTTTTTCTTCGATCCGATTTTAATTTATCTAATAACAAATTGATATTTAGTATCATTAGTACATATTAGTTCATCTATGGATCAGTTAAACTAGTCAGTGTTGGATGTCACTGTGGGGTGCGAGCTACTTATAAGTAGTATATGACGCGAGTGTTAACGTAATGTCTGGCAGCAGAAGATGGGGGAAGATCAAGAAAGGAAGAGTTAGAAGAACACAATGGAATTTGTATGAAACGCATGAATAGTGAAATGTCAGACAATGGATTGATGATGGATTGAAGATTTGCAAATTAACCGTTTACGATATGGTTTTCCTATTTTACTGAGTAACTCTGTAATTTGCGATAACTACAATTCGGTTTCCAACCCTGTGTTCTCCTTCACGACAACTGCTTTATGTTCGTCGTTAGGCTCACTCACCAATTCTTTGGTTTTGTGATCTGTGTATGATGCGGTTTATAAACGTGTTCAACTCTTTGTATTCATCTTCTGATTTATACACTGTTAGATGTTATCTCGTAACGATTATCAGGACGAACAGTATACAAAATTTAGGAATGATATTGAATAACAATCACCACAGAATTGGTGAGTCCATATCCATCACAACTCATATTAAAATTAATACAAATGGTAAATGCAATGACAGTTATTCGATTTTAAAACATGTTTCGGCTAATTTTTTTGGTATCAGCTAGATTACAGTGTGATAAATGACAGATCACGTATGCGAATGTCTTGGTTGGAACATCTATGCTCTATTTTAAAAAAAAAATTACGCCTGAGATAAGATATTGTTCAGGAAATCGCTTTGTCTTATAACAGTCATCTTTGAAGGAATTCTACACTCCTATTGGTAGAGATTATCAAGCAAATTGGTGGTTCAGACATTCGTGTCTGTCATTAGTGATGATAAGTTGGTTAATATCGTGATTCTGAAGCAGTGGTTTCGACTCTTTGTATCGTTTTTCCCAGGAAGACTGTTTCCTGTAAGTTTGAATTCCAGGATGATACATGATGGGATGGATAGAAAAAGCAAAGATATAGTTACCTTAAACATGACGTCATAGTATAGAAGATAGTGGTGCTTTGTCCTAAACCTCAACTCGTTGATGAAAGCAGTAAATATCATATCAGTCAGTCACTTACGACGTAGAACTTAGTAAGTACGTATATCACTTCAGGTTGTCATACCATTTTAGCACAGAGACGTAATTGTCACCTCAAATCCTCTAGAAGTTGAGTTAGTAGAAGTATTGGCAGTAATCGAAGAGATAAAGGTTCGAAGATATGATTCGAAAAGTATAATCTAGTGATGTGAATTTGAAAAGGGAGAAAGAGGTTATGGAAAATTCAGAAGACTAGAATTTCGGAGAAGACAAAGAGTGGTTGCTTCTGCGCCACTGCAAACAATTTTGAGCCATATTATTCAAGGTCATTAACCATCGGTTACTATCATCTTACGGGCCTCAGCCTGGTAGTCTACACCTACCAATATGGCTCAGTCCAATTGTCACTGACTTTATGGATTTGTGTCATGTTTTCGTTCAGTCACCCCCAGCTAACGTCCAACCTACTCCTACACCACAAAACATCGCTCGTGGAGGCTGTCAGTGGTTGGGCAAATGTAACACATGTCCCAGCCACCTCAACTGATGAAGTTTCACTACTTAATCAATTGATTTGCTATCCTTACCTAATACTCTTTTCCTAACACCATCATTGCTTCCTCAATGGTCCCAGGACAAACAGGTAGTGCTTCGAAGACACCTATGATCTAATACTAGTAACCTACCAAAAATCTCTACTCCTGCTGGCCATATTTCACACTATATAGTTGGATGTAGCAAACTGATGCGCAATAGACTCATCCTTCGGTTAATAGTTGGTTATCTCGCCTAGACCATCAGTGACGTTAGTTGGCAAAAAACCAGTCAAAACCTCTATATCTGTGCCGAAATTTAATCCGAAATCAGGCCATCCGGACTGATGATATTCCGAAGATGAGTGAAGCGGTCAACACGCTCAACTACTTCACTCTCTATCACTAGTTCAGATGCTAACCAACACAAGCCAATCCTGAAGTAACATTTTACACTTGGAGAGAGAATCACATCCCATTTATGTCTTAAAGGAAATAGCTTTAGTTCAAAAACGTACTTTTGTAGGTGGAATTATCAGTGAGTTTTATATGCCGGAGTTTGCTCTTAGAATATGATCCAGTCAGTTAGTTACCAAATATGAAGCAGTAACTTTCGTCTCTTTGTAGACTAACGGAAGACTACTGTTGAATTATTTCCTGGAGATACTTTCAGTTAGCCAATATTAAATTTTCGTCATAAAGATTTTAATTCATTGAAAGTCAACTATAGATTTGTGTATTAAAAACTTGATGTGATATCTAGTGTGCCAAAGTTAGTGAAGTTATTTAAATCGTAATTCGATCATAGGTAAACCACAACTGAAAGCGCCAGATGGCTGTTACGTCCTAGTTGAGGACTCATCAACAGTACGCATCCACATCTAAGTGAGCCAGAATCATAACCAAGACGCTCTGTTTTTAGCGTGAATACTGTCTACTGTCTACTTAAATACGATTCAATTATTATTGTTGTAATAGTGTTGAAATCACTATGTACGACATTATTAATAGATCCTGTTCTCTTTCTATTGATGGCTGACCAAGGATAAAATTTCTGGAAGGAGGAGTGCAAGCCCTGCGTCAGCTGAACTTGCAGATCGACGCATGATTTGCAAACAAGCCTTCCATTTAGTGTGAAAACTGCGTAATTTAATTTTTGAAAATAAAGACTAGTGGCTGCTACCTCGAGTTCTCTCTTGGTGTGAATATCTTGGTGTACGTTGTGTTCCAGGTCTTCGCCCTTCGGTAACCACTGATAACCCGTGTTGCACTGTCAGATATGAGACAGTTACCTACCGAAGACAATAGGTGTATTCGCGCAATATCGTACATTGATCGAAGTTAGATAGTGACACCGTTAAATGCCAGCTCAGTTGTACAGATATTAAGCTTTCGCCGCCTCAGACCGAAGGTCCTAGGTTCCATCCTTGTCAGCAGGGATCGTAGATACGCACTGTCGGTAGGACGAAACAGCCATTCAGTGCTTCCAGGTTCTTATTCGTAGTCGAACAGTGTTGGGGATGTTACATCTCCAAATTTCGCTTGATAAATGCCTTATTTTGTCTTTCAGGTTTGCCAGCATGGGCTAATCAGTTGACCTTGAGATTTCAATTGCCACCAGGAAAATCCTTGACCGTGATTGACTGCTGTGTATTTTAGTGTGCTATTTTCCTAACTGTCCCAAGGACGTTTCTATGATGTATAAATAAACGAGAGTGGTATGCTTGATTGTACTGTGATTGCTGCGTGTTTGTAGAATATACTTTGTATGCTTACAAAGTCTTCTATCTTCAGCTTAGGATTCAAGGTAGTCTACTTGGACGCTGGTAATTGTCTCGTTCGCGTTTATCGACTAAGGTGAACTCGTAATAGCCTCAAGCATACTTAGTGATGAACATAATAAACGGTGATCTGTTCATGAAGAGACAAAAATCAAAAACACGTACCGACAGATTCATGACTAACAGATTCACTGATTGCATTCGAAGTTTCATAACTTGATTGATTACTAAATGATGAAGTAGATTTACTATTCTATAACCGAAAAAAAGCACAATGAGGATGCAGAAAAATGATTTTTATGCGAAAAACAAAAGCCAAAACAACAATGTATACTCATAAATCAAATTAAAAATTGATGATAATTAGAATATACTATGTTAAATATTCAATAGGTTTCATTGATTTTAAGCAAAACAAAAGACTGATACCACATTTTTCGTATCATATAGTGTTGGTTTTGACAGTTGTTACAACTCATAAACACTTAAGTGAAATTTTATGGCTAGTCGATTTTTACAGTCAATCATTGACCAGCAAAGTGGATCCGATGCCAAGGTAAAGGCACGGATCTGCTAAGCGAAGGCTACATTTTTACAATTGAACAATATCTAGAACTCAAAACAACTATCAATCAACACCAAAGTCACAATTTGCAATACAAATGTCAAGACAGTTTTACTGTATTGGACGGAAACTTGGAAAACTACCAAAGCCATTATCCATGAGATACAAGTATATAATAACACTTGACTACACAAGATACTAAAGATCCGTTGGTTAGACACTCAGCACCGACCGACTGGATAGAATCTGTTGTTACACTTGTAAGACAAGAAGTGATATCTCAGCAAATTCTTCAATAATCTTTTGCTTGAATGAAACTTTAGACAAACATTTATACGTTACTTTTCCGCTCTGGTAAAGTTTTCATCTGGAACGTAAGCCCCATTCACAAATGCACCGTCTTCGAAAAAACCATCCACACTTACATTTTTAGGTGCTAGTTTAAAGACATTCTAGCTTTATTGCCAAATTTTCTTACCATTTTGGTGGACTATTTTAAATGTTGACATACAATTGATTTCAGTGGTGTACAGAACAAGAGTTGCAATGAATAAGTCTACTGAATTTTCTTCCAAGTGATGTATGTTTTCAAACTGTATTTCATGATATATATATATTCTATGCTTATTATGCATGTATTTTTTGTCGGTTTTGGAGCAATCCTAAATTATCAGAAAGTAGACTAATGGCCTATTTTTCACACAAAATTATGGTTACATAACAGGGTTATTCTCAACTCAGCGAAAAGCTCTAGCTATACTCTAGGTCGTTAAATGATTTTATACGTAATTACGTGGAAAACAAATCACTACTATTGCAGATCATGAAGCTATAGAGTTCATCTATAATCCAGAAGAATCCCTTATATGTTCCTCAGCTGTTATGTTTCACTGATCAACTATTTCTGTAAAAGCTTATGGCTAAACTAATCAACATAAAAATGCTAAATAAATTCAACAACTACGAATTTATAGAATCGTTGGAAGATAAACCTATGGATATTTCTGACTGTTGGTTGATACAAAATTTTTCAGTAAACCGTTCGTATCTTATAGACAGACAGACAGATACAACGGAGAACTTTGTACATACGTACATCCGTTCAGATTGCCAAACCGCATTAACAAAGAGATGCAACGGTCAGTTCAAATCCAAGAGTGATAGCGATAGTAAAAGTATTAGCAGTAATGGAGAAGATTAAGGAACGGAAATATGATTCGAGAAGTATAATTCAGTGAGATAAATTTAAAAGGAGAAAGATAGAGATTATGAGTAATTTAGAAGGTTAGAGTTTGAGAGAACACAAAGAGTGGATGCATCTGCGCCATTGCAAACAGTTTTGAGCCATATCGTTCATATCTCATTGTCAAGATTTATTTATAATTTTGGTTTATGCTGGATGCAGTATGAAACTAGTGAAACGATACTATGAAATGTAGGTTTTATGCCTATTTCACCAAACATGATGGACTATTCACAACTCCTGATTGTAATTTTTTGTCTAAGTGCTTGTGTTTTTATTCTTCCTTCATTACGCATATTTATCTTTGAAAGTTTGATCCTTTAGAGTTGAGAAAGTAAGATATTTGACACTCATTTTTGACTGAAGATAAATGCACAAATATGTCTAATAACCAAACATTCATGAGATATTTCATGCTTCAGACTAAACTTTATGGCCAATATCATGTGAAGTTTGGCAGGGAATACATTAAAATTATTATGGTCTACTTTTTGGCAGATATTGAGCACTTGCTATCACTAATTATTTTTTCTAAGTGAGTCGAAGTGTTTTTATAGGGTTTTACCGAGCACTGACTTTATTAGACCAAGAAAACATTGTTCAGAGGGAATTGAAACTTCATTAAAATCATTTAATGGTAGCATTCTTTTCCATAATGTGAAGATCTTATATTCCACAAAAGTAAGTTATTATCGAGAGAATGACGTACAATCATTCACAAAGTTTCCGGTGAATGTTTGAAAATACTTGATGCACATTTTAGATACTAATGATTTTAGTATGTAAAACACTTTACCATCACTTAATACATGTTCAAACTTCTCTTAGCTCAAATATCCAAATAATTCGATTTGATAGTTGTTTAGTTTGAGTAAGATTTTATTAACACAATGTTCGACAGCGATTGCTGTTCAAAACTGACTGAATCATGAAACATTATGAAGAGGTTCTAAAAATGTGTAGGGATCGAAGTGTGGACTAGTGAAGTCCTCCACTACTTCTACTCATGAGATCATCTATGTATGTACTTTCAGAGTGAAAGAAAACTGTCACAATACTGAAATCAAAAATATATAATTGATGGAGTTGATTTCTATAGACTGTATCATAGGTAAAATCGCGAATGAAAACCGTTTTCATAGAATTTAGATTGTTATATAATTGTGGATGTTCAATCGTGTGAAACATAAGTGCAGCTCATAGAAAATCTCAGTGCTTTCCTGATTTATACACTAAAATCAAACAAACCAACTAACTTTTCTAGAACTTTCATCGTAGCTCTCTTCTGTTGCATCATCATAAGTGGTGAGATCCGACGTCCACGAAGTATAAGTATGCCTACTGATTCCAGTAGGATCAACTAAGGAGCTAGCTAAATCATCACTAAACGGCTCCCAGTAATCGATAAGTTCGGAGTTCAGTTCCAGAGGTGCTAACAGCAGCTTGCATAATAGCAGTTCTCGATAAATATCACTTCTGTTTGCAGAATATATCTTTATTAAGAGGCAAGTTACCGCAAAAAGTATGGAAGACGTTCGGATTCAGCCCACTTAATAACACGTTCTTGATTTTCATCTGATAAACCCAAGTTTGATGACTCTTTAATATCAAGTTCATGGGAATCCGTGAAGTTGAAATCACCAATCAGTCGGTTGTATTGTAACTTAAGCGAAAACACCTTTCATAAAGATATCGTTTCTATTTAAAATAGTATCTCTTACTGGTAGTGATAAGAAAAAATTGAAGTAATTTTCAAAGAGATCATCTGATATTAAACATTCTTCCAAATTATTAAAATTAGCAAGCAGGTCCATCCAGTGACCTTGGTACTATTTAAAACCGTGCTGGTGGTATTAGAAACCAAAATTTGGTTTATTTAAAAAGTATTATATTACCAATCTGTGTTTTTTACTGGATACATGGTATAATGGTAGTAAATGAATTTTATATTTATGCTACAGCTAATCATAAAGGAATTAAGGCAATGAGGTGCTCATCCCAAATCGCAGTTTCGTAACAAGAGCACATTGGGAACGGACATAGTTTAATTCAAAGAGATTAGGACTGATTTCTGATAAAAACACTTTGCTTGTTGTTGACACACTTCAGCAATCGATTAATGTGTGCAGGCAGTAGTAGAAAACATTTATACAGATTTAGGATACGAAAGACGATAAATGATGGTTCATGCAATCAAGCTGTGATTTCGGGTGCACGTGAAAAAATTACCCCATTCAAGATTAGGTTGAAGGTTTTTAGGTGAGGTAATAGAACCTCTGAAGGAACGCAGCAAACCAACGATTGACGTAACAGTCACAGTATCCACTGAAATCCGGTAGCCTAATTTAACTGGACCACTGTTGTAATTAATTAAAGTAGATAGTTATTCGTCCATCACTTTACATCATAAAAAAATAACTTATTCTCAAATAACAACATGTTGCGAGAGGCATGCCAATTTACAGTCAAGATCAGAATGATTAAATTGATGACATATTTTCTGTAAAAGTTTGTTCAGTAAGGTAGATATCTCACAAGGTACACTGAGAGCTAATAGTTTTACATAAAATTCTAAGTGTATCAGACTCTGGAATTGGTAGTACTTACTAGTCATCTGGTGAGGATGCTCAACCGACCGTCTTTAAATATAGAAAATCCACTGAAGTTATTGAGCTCAGTATCAATGTCGAAGACCTACAGAAACACTTATTTTGAGGGCTAGTATACCGCTACATATGTTTGAATGATACAACTATCATTCATGATTCTCACTTCTAATTCTGATATTTTTATGAATTAGCGTGCAGATTAGATGTAGGTAACTCCAGTTTAATTTCAAGTACCAAAAACTACTGAAACAAACTCTGACCACAAACGTATTTTCAGACTGCTTGTAAGAGCGTATTTTAAGTGGTTTTCAGTAAGCCAAATAGATCATTCAAAATTAAGCTAGAATATCTGTATAGCATTTTTCATTCCTTATTCAAGGTCGACAAAGACCAGCTACAAATACATTCATAGCTATTTATATATATACTGAGAGCATAAGTTAAGATTCTACACATTTTCTTAGATCACATTTTTGCGTAGTAAAATACATACTTGCGTTCTTATTACTTACAAACTTATGTCTGTGGCTCGACCGAGCATAAGTCTCTAATCAGCCTTCTCCACTGTACTCTGTCCTGAGCCTTTCTTTGTCAGTTCCATCCAAATCCTGTTCACTGTTGTCTACATTTCTCTTGGTCTTCGTTTTCTTCTTCGGGTTGCAAGTTGAGGCTTCTTTTGGGTACTTTCCAGAATCAGTGTCCTTTCCGACTCCAGCGCTTTTTTCCGATTTCTTACTCTGCTGCAAACTGGTTTGTCCTCTTACTCAGGTGATGTTATCCAACGAATCGATCTGAAGTATTTCGCGCAGACAACTGTTAATAAACTTTAGAGTCATGTGGATGATGGTTCGTCAAATTTCTATATCATTCAGTAGAACCTTCATGACATTTTCATTGAAAATTGTTGGGTCTGGATGTTCATCACTTGTAGAAACGCGAACCGTGGTTTGCTAATCTGGATCTTCACATAAGCATCAGATTCAGCTTGTTTACCAGCGATGTGGACCATTTATGTAATGACTTATACTTCCTTCAAAGCTTCTACGTCACCTGTGACTTAGTTGTGGCATTTTATGTCAAATAGGAGCATCTTGCCTTTTCTGTTTAAAAGTCGAACCCTACTGTTTCAGAGGCTGCTGCTGTACTAGCCATCTTCATTTGCATTTGTTGTTGAATGTGGAGTAGAAGATTTTAAATATAAATTCCGAATCGCCTTTGTGCATCCAAACTCCACCTTATATTCTACGCTCCTCTAGATGTTAATTTCATCACAGTCCTCATGACCACCAGGTAAAAGAGAAAGAAGGAGTACCTTGTCTGACTCCTGTTTTCACTTTGAACGTGTCTGAAAGCTGTTATCCATGTATGAGCTTTAGTTTAATCCATCATAGTAAATCTGAATGATGTTGACAATCTTCTTATAGCGTCAAGAAAGTCTCCATGAGGCCGTCCTGCCCACCTTGTGAAATAATTTCTTGTAGTCAGTGAAATTGATGTACAGTGGTGAATTCCATTCAGTTGATTGGTAGTGACTCGTAGTGTTGCGGGCGATTTGGTCGGTGCACAAATGATCCTTACTTAATCTAGACTGCTGATTTTGAAGTAGGGTGTCTAGTAAATCTTTCATTCAGCCCAACAACATTCTGTTGAAGACTTTTCCTCGTACTGAGAGAGAAATGATGCCTAGGTAATTTACTCAATTACTTAGGTCTCCTTTCTTTGGTATCCTGATGATGTGTTCTTCTCTCCAGTCTGTTGGTACATGTTCCTATGCACAGATGTTGCTGAAGAGAATTGTTGAGGAAGTTAGATCCTAACAACTCACCTGATAAAGGTCTTAATTGTGGATTTTATTCATGTGCTCATCAACTGACCTTGATATTGAAGTTCCCACCACGAAACTCCTTGGCTGTGATTAGTTACTGTGTTTTTAGTGTGCTATTTTTTTGACTCTCACGAGGACGTTTCTATGATGTATTATTAAACGCGATTTCTGTGTTTGATTCATTGAGTTTCCTGAATGTTTGTAGAACACATTTTCTACCTTTTCTTTAGCTCCTTTGGGTAAACGGGTCAGACTAGCCTATCGTATCACTGGTTCATTGTTTCGTTCTCAATTATCGACTAAGGTGAACCCGTCATAGTTTCAAGCATATAACGTGATGAACATAACCAGAATGTACTTACTGTTACCCCTGCTGTAAGTGCCTCAGCTGTAAGGTTTTCCGGCCCTTCCGTTCTCCTGCTCTTCATTTGTCCGACGGACATGCTGGTCTCTCCAAACGTAGGTAGGTCAGCATAAACTCGGAGGTCTGTGAGTGCAGCTTAGAAGTTGGGTGGGTGCAATAAAGTTGGTCAACTGAAGAGATCTTCATAGTTCTCCTCAATGTAGTTCATCGGCTTGTCTTCCTTGCGTTTTATTGTTCGTTCTGGTTTACTATAATTTGCAGAGTTTTTTGTATCGTGCAAATGTCTCATGTTTTCTCCTCTTGCCGCTTATCCACCGTCATTGCTAGATCTTCCACGTTTTTACGATTGTCAACTCTAATGCTCTTCACTTGAATGTTTGCTTCTGTGTATTCAGCTGGTGCTTTAGCTTTCTCAGATCTTTTTCATCTGATGCTGATTTCTGGCTTCTTGTCTCCCCTTTATTGAATCTTATCAAGATTATTCAGGGAGATCTTTTAGCCCATAACCTCCCGAAATGTTGAAGTGATTGCCTCCTTGAAGCCTTTTCCAATTTTTCTCCATTGATTAAATCGTACAAGGCCTGGACCCGATTGCTCAAGGCCATCTTGAAATCTTTGAGTTTTACGGTATCCCGAAGAAATGCCATAATAAACTTTTTTGATACTGTCCGCCCTGTTGTCAAGCGCTTCTTGAGTTTCAATTTCCTCTTAACCACTAGCAAGTAATAATCTAGGCTATTTTGGATCCCCTCTTGGTTCTTACGTTCTCCATCATACATCTGAGCTTTTATAGATGCAGATATGGTTGATCTGGTTCTTTTTAGTTGTGTTATCCGGTGAAACGCATGTTGTTTTGTGTACACCTTTGTGTGGAATATAGTCTCGCCTATGACCAGTTTTTTGACGGCATACAGATAATGAATCTCTCAGCAGTTCTGTTCACTTTTTCCAGCCTGAGTCGTCAAATAATGTCTTTATATCCCCTGTTATCTATTCGAACTTTGGCATTTAGGTCTTTCATCAGAATGATCAAATCCTTTGATGAGTATCTCTCGGAAATTGACTGCGTATAGAATTGGATGATGTTCATTGTTATGCCATCCTGCTTGGTTTTTAAGGATGTTTATATGATCTTGGCTCTATGAGATTCCTATCGTAGCAGTATTTTTGTGCTTGTTTAGATAGCATCTGCGCAACTCGTTGTTCATGCCTAGCATTTTCTTCTATATGACTGGAGTCTAACAGCAGCTCTCTTGAAGCTAGACTTAGTCAACCAACCTGCTTTCAATGTTTTTCACTGATTAAAAGTACCTCCAGGTTGTGTTTTTCCATTTCCTCAGCTGCTTGGATCACTCTCCCAGTCTCCCACATTGTACCTAAATTAGTGATTTCTCTGTTTCTCAGTAGTGGCATCGGCCTCCTGACTTCGGTTTTCGCCATGAGACGTCTAAACTCTTCTAAATGAAGACATTCTAACTGCAAGAAAGAGTTCTATTAATTTTGATTACTCTTTCTCATCAGGGTTTTTTAATCGAGTAGGTTTTCTACAACGTGGGATCGCTAACCCAGCGTCTAACCGTCCTCATTCATCTAGGCTTGGTATGAGTAGCAACCACAGGGGGCTTCATATGGAATCTTGCTTTCACATGCAGCAACCTAAAAATATAGTTGTACGTATTCGGCTTCTGCATACACACTGCTAGCCGTGGGTAAAAAATTCTCTATGAGCTATTACAAGGATGATTGTGAAACATCGGGAGTGATATTATAACATATTCTCCCCGTTGCAAAGTTACACAATATCTTGATTGAAAGTTCAGTAATGCAAACTGAAAATGTCACACATACCTTGAAGTTCTTGCGATTTCTTGATTATAGTTGAACCTAGTGGCTTACAATCACGATCAAAGGTTGTCCAGCGTACAACAGACATGTATTCATACTGCATGTTCCTCAGTAGTTTACTTCCGAAATGAAAATAATGGGTTTGAGTAGTCCTAAACAAGATGGAGTTTT